GTTTCTAACTTTCGGTATATTTGTCACGGTTTTTCCTTCAATGGGAAAGCACTCTCTCCCCTTTAAAGACACAGATCGAAGTTCACCGCAGTATCCTTGACCCTCTCGCGAAGACATTCCACCGAGAAAGCATCGAAACGAAATTGAAACTGAGATCTGCGCGAGGATGAGTACCGAAGAGGGCTCGATAAGGAATTGTCTCCGACTTGCGAACGCTTCTACCAGCAACCTCTTGGTCGTTCCAAGGTGATGTGAAACAAATGAACAGGGAAGTGGGCTTGTTTTTAAGAACTGTTTAGAGGTGTATCTTTGCTAAATTGTGGAAATAAACATAATAAAACTGAGAAAGAAAAAAAAGCAAGATGAAGCGAAAGAGTCGCAAAGGGGGTGTGAGGATAAAAGAGCGGTCGTTAGAAAGGAAGGGAAATAGGGGGTGGGTAGCGCACGAGCGAGTCCAAGCGGAGAAAGAGGGGGTTAGAGAGTTGTGGCTCGTGAAAACGAGGGGAACGATCGTTGGAGCGACGATTTTCCCAGCGAATGATGATGAGGGTGTCCTAGATCGGGGATCTCACGCGGAAGAATAGAGCAGACACGAGCAACCTGTTGCTTCACAATACGCCGCCGCGCAGCGCCGGGGGGATATCTGTCTCTATTCAGCGGTTTCACGCTGCGCAACACGTTACGATATTCCCCTAACCGACCGTCTGCGATACACTTCCGCAGAATTCGTACGAAATATTATGCCCGCGACTCGCGTCATATATAGCCAGGAAAATATATCGTCACAGCCAGCGGAACGCGGAATTTCCATCGCCCTTCTCTCTCTCTGACTATTGTTCGTTGTGTGGAGATGGACAATAGTCCCATCATAGTTCGAACATTCAATCTAATAATATGAAATTTGTAAAATGAATAGTTTGTACAGATTTGCTAACCTACGTAACGTCTACTGTGTTTGACACACGTGCTCAAATGGAAAGTCGCTCAAAAATGACTTGACAATCAGCGTGACGATTATCAATCGTGAATTACGTTTCACCAAAAACACTGTCAACAACGAAATCAAGTCAAACGATCCTGACTGGCAAAATTCGGCAACGTTTGAAATTCCACGTGGATCCACGCGGTAAACATCGTTGTAAATATGCCTAATTGGCGCCCGACGCGTTGCGAGCCTTTCGGAAATGATTGCGCGAAAACGAACGACTCGCCGCTTCGACGATTTATCGTCGATCGTCTTGCTCGCCCGTCGCTATAGTTTTACGAGGCCGTGATTGCGGCTGATTCACGACTTCCGAGTTGTGCAACGTTGCCAATGAATGCAACGCGTTCTTGTTTCGTTTGGGTATTTTGAAAAGACCCATGCGAAAATGAAGAAATAGAAAAATCAGGACATTCGGAGCTAATGCAACTTTTTGATTAGAAATTGATCACCTTATCACGTTTTACAAATAATCAAATTACAGAGGTGAGTTTACTTCTTGATATTGTCAAGAAACTAGTACGGATGTAGTAAGAAACATACGAGTACATTGCATAAGGCGAAGGCGTGTCTTATGATTGAAAAATGTTAACTTTTCAACACCGTACAACGCGTATCCCACGATTCTTGGAAAGAAATGAAGCTATTTTCGTAGACACCGAGTACATTATTCGGTATCGCCAAAAGGGACGAACACAAGCGAGATTCTCGAACGTGATCGGCCTCCCGATCAACCTTAATCACGATTTCCAAGGTAACGCCGTCACGCCGCTCGGAATCACAAAGAGGACACCTTTGGAGAAGTCCTCCACCAGCGTTTTCCTTTCTATCGAAAGATCACTCCGATTATAATCACCGGTCGGCTCCCTTTAGGGCTACCAACGTGCTCCAAATGGGTACCACTCAGTTTCGTTCCACAAAGTATACATAGGCGTATTCTTCCAATTAATTTTCCGATTAAAATAATATCTCCAAGAGAATTACGTGATCCAGAGATGGCAAACCCGAGTTCCCTGTTGGATCAGTCTCAGGTCCACGCGTGCGCCCGACTCAAAGGCAGGGGGATCCCCGACGATCACGATTTTCCCATCGAACCAGGAATCTACCCTACGGCGTTTCTTCCGCGACGCCGACGACACGAACAGCCGAGAACCATGAATCGACCCTTTCTCGCGGAGCTGACCCGCGCGATTCTCGTCGGAGACGGCCACGTTTCGATCGATCGTCGCTCGTGAGTAGAACAGAGACGTCTAGCGTCAAAATAAATCAATAAAATAGCGAGTCGAGTCGAGTCGGAGTCGAGCGCGACCGCGAGTATGGCGCGACTCACAGACACGCGCCTCTCTATGTACGCACAGTGATACACGCTCGAGACCTCTGCAACGCGAGCTTCTTCAAGTTCTTCAAGTTCAGCTTTACCCGTTTCACTCTTCGAATTCGTGATGGAAGTAAACATATAAACAGGGGGCACGAACTTATATATACTGGACGTTAGGATTGAAATTCACATATGTACATAGATTTCTATGTACATAGAAAACATTTCAATTGACCTTTGATACTCACGATACTTTGTTATGAAATGTAATTAGTAATAGAAATTGTCTTCTTGAATGTATAGAGTCACTGGAACTTTGGACATCAGAACTAACGGAGGTACAGTGTTTTCGAAGCTTTGATTTTCTAACAATATTGATTTAAAAAAGAACTCAAAGTACACGCGCCAGTGTCCCTGAAGAGGTTAATTTTCCTTCAACTTCGCCTCGTCGAGGACTGACAATGTGCGCGGTCCGTGGCTTGCGGAGAACGGGCCAGCCAGCTCCGCGGGGGAAAAGGAGAAGCTTCGAAGAGGCAGGGGGCGAGAGAGAGAGAGAGAGAGAGAGAGAGAGAGAGAGAGAGAGAGAGAGACTAGGAAGGGGAGAGAGGAGGAGAGACGAGACGAGACGAGACGAGACGAAACGAGAGGCGAGAGAGCGAGCGAGCGAGGTCGAGACACGCGGCAGCTGTCTGGCGCCAGGGTCCCCCTGTTCCCTCAAACAGTCGCGCCGAATGCCACCCACCTTAGCCGACCTATTGTGCCATTCTGAAACCTGCATCTCAGGAGTCGGCTTTCCCTCTCTGTCCTGCCTTCTTACCTAAGCCACCTCGCGACCTGTTCAGGACGAAAACAGGACACGGGGCTTCTTCTGGTCTCCGCCTCTGACGGAGATTGACGTCGTTATTTATTATTAATGCCCTTTGTTTCGCGTGCTCGCGATGCGACCGCGTCGCCAGCGCCGCGACCAGACGTCTAACGGGCGCCGGGACCCCGTAGATAGGCGAAATTCTTACATGGATGTAGCATTTTCAGTTACCAATTCGAAGATAAAGAATTGGTTTTTTCTGGTGTTCTTCGAGGAGACGTAAAAGTTGAGGGGGTTATTTTTATAGGGGTGTCGAGGATTTGCTTTTTTGAGAATTGGGATCTTTCGATCGCGAATACATATATTTTTTGTCGTAACGTAATAATGTAAATAAAATAAAAGGTACACATTTTTCTTAGGAGAAATTGTACTACATCCACGTTGCAATACGCGACGAAAGATCTTTAATAAAATGGTTTACTTTCAGAGTAATTGTTGGTGAACCATTTTCTTCGGTTCCCAACGGTATATTACAGTTTTGCGCGAAACGGTAGCGCAGTAAATTCGAGCGTGTCTTCTTCGAAGGAGATAATAACGAAGTATGCAACATTGTCAGATAACGGCAATCGAAAGAGGCGTTAAAAAATATCTCACCGAGCGTCTCGAATATTCGCCAATTTACGGACACACTCTTCGAACGCTGTAAAAGCTTCCATGGTGCAAATAAGTTTGTACGATGATCTCGAGGGCAGTTGAAGCGTTTTCCACGTTCTAGTCGGTACCGAAAGTGTTTCGGTCGTTCTGCGAAGCAACAAGCGAGGAATGGGAGAAAATGGAGGAGAGAGAGAGAGAGAGAGAAAGTGAGTAGGTCAAAAAACGAAGAGTACGGGAATCGCGGGGTGCGTCATGCGTGAAAACCTGTGCGCGCGTCAGCACGGTGGAACGTGCCCGCCGAGGAAATTTCTTCGTTTTCGAATGTGAACGCCTTCGTTCAGATATGTATGTGCCTCATGCTTCGCCTCAGTGACGCCCCCCTCCCCGAAGACTAAACATTCAAAAAAAGGAGTTTCCCCAACGATCCTCTATGAAACTTCGTTACTTTTATATGATAACGATTTTTCTGCGGTAAATTTTGTGCCTGGTACCGGTTGGCAATTTTTTAAAGATCCCAGGAATCCTGGCGAACCTGCAAACCAGTTCAGCCGGGAATCTTTCCGACGGTCTCTGTTCTCTTGGACACGGAAGTGAAAAACGCGGCGAAAGACGAAGAGAAGATATCGTTCGTAGCATCGTTCAAGGTTAACCACGTGGATATAGGCGTAGCCACCTACCAATGGCGTAGCAGGAGGACCGATCTACCTATGGAACAACCGCTAAGTCTAATGAACGTTTGCGAGGTGTACATTTCTTTCATCCAGTGGAGAATTCATCTAGCGTAGGTTTAATTCGGTGTACTGACGAGTAAAGGGGATGGTTGCTAAGTAATAAGGGGGGTAGTAACGGAGATACTACATGTTCTGTATACAAATGCTACGCACTGCATCGGTTACCTCGACTATTACAAAAACCTCGATTATTGCGGGAGTTTAAAGCGTCGACTCCTGCAACGATCGAGGTTCCACCTTATCCCAGGGTTCCATGGCACGTCGAGTCTATTCTCAGAGAAGAATCTCCACGGTATCGATAATAGCGATGGTCCTTTTTGCAAAATAACATTTCTCGCGACCTGCGACCTGGGCGAGGGATATACCCGGGGCTCAAAGGGTTAAGATCGCCAAACTGGAAAGGAAGGCGAGTCGTTGGCATCCTTTTCTATAGCAGACCGCGTTTTCATTCGCGCGTAGTACGTCGCAGACGCGAGAGGGGAGTATGCACAACCTTGAAGACATAGTTACCTTCTCCGTTGGTGGTAAGGGAGCCGGGAAGTGGCAGGGGTGTGCTGTTTTTGCACCGACGTTGATCCCCTTCGCTGGGCGCACGATCTGAAAATAAACGGCACCCCTTTAGATGCTTCCCTCGGCAGACACACGCTCCTCACACTTTCTCCACGTCGCGTTTTCTTTTCGTCCACCGACTGGGGAGTTAGCGTGCATATCGAGGAATTATACACCGCCATAGGAATTAAAAACAAATTTTTGGATCCCCACGAAACGATGATTTAAGCATTCAATATAGCATAAAATAGATGTGGAGCAAGTATCATCGTTTTTAAGAAAGGAAATGGTTACGCCAAAGAAAAAGGAGGACAGAGAGATCAGCATTTATCAATGGTTACGCCGATGGTCCCTCGAGCGTCGCAAAAAAAAGCTTACTACGTGCTCAAGTGCATAGTTGTTTCTCCACGGGAAGATTCGTCTCGCTTTTTTTCCTGCTATTGACCCTTTCTCTGTTACCCGTATTCGTTCAGACTTTTTTCTGGCCTTTTTTTCTACTACTACTACTGCTACGCAGTTTCAGGAACTCGCGTAAGTCGATCTTTCATTCATTTCGCGTGACCGATAGCGTACACGGCTCCACTTAGAATAGGTCTAAAGCTTCTTTTGGAATGAAATAGTTGCTTCCTGTGGGATCATCCCTCCTAATACTCTTTTTTTTTCAGATTAGAAGACGATAGACTTTCCTACTGCGTCAAAAATGACCCTAGTCCGTCGCGTCGCGAATTTCGGTACACGCAGACGGGAAGAGGGGTTACGCATGTAAATTGGTGGCTTGGTGAATCATAGTTCTCGTGGAAATTCGACCGTCCCGGTCCGGCCAGCACCGACCACAAAGGAGGTGACAGAGTCGTCTAAAATAATGATTCGCCGGAGGCAGATCATTTATCCTCGACGTTGTAGGAAAGTCCTCGTTTAACATTCGAAATAACCAACTAATTCACTTGTAAGAATGCTATCTTCCATTTCAGCCGCCCGTACCAATGCGCCCGTAACTCGATCGTTTGTTCGCGCAATAAATACTTGCTGCCAAGCGTGTTCGGAGCTCTGTCTAGCGTCCACGTGAACCGATATCCGCGTCCAAACGTTTGCTGGAGGTCTGAGAATACTCGATACCTCGATGCCTAACGATACACCCCCAATTTCGTGATAGAGGAATAGCTTCAGTCTCTTAGGGTGGTCTCCGACGGTACCACATATGCCACACAGAAGGTTCCTGGTGTCTAAACACGCCTCCGAAGATGCTATAACATTGCTCTTTAAAACAACAAAAATCTTGTCGTTAACCCTACTTCATGGTTGTCGGGGACACAGATGGTAACACTTCGCGTGGGCCTACATTATAATTATTAAATTATTTATCGGTTCTTTCAGACTCTAAAGCCTAAACAACAACGATAAATGTTAACTAATTTTCCTCCTGATTCAATCACTCTTCTCCAAGAGGAAAAACCTGAAAAATGTTGAGTTCTCCGACCAGGATGTACTTAGTAAGAACATCGTGGCGACACGTACGCTCGAAAATTGTATAATGCCCGGTCTTTGGGCTGCTGAGATCGTTATAACATTACTGAGAGGATAATGTATAATGCTGTATAATTCTACATCGGCGGAATGAGCGAGATCACGCGACTGGTTTCTGGCTCCCGATGAAAAAAACGAGAGGAAGGAGGTCGAGTCTCGAAGATTTCGACCAAGACGATTCCGGTCTCAAGGATCGACGGAGGACTAATCGCTTTAGGGACACAGCAGCCATGGAAGGCGGGATTCATTGACTAAAAGAGAGGATGACGTCAGAGGACAAGTCCGACTGGAGGGCGGTCGCATTCTTCTTAAATTCCAGCGGCTCGTTCCTGAGGGAGAGTAACATTTCCTGCTGCTGAACCGAACAGCGTCTAGGAGGCAGTAACAGTGGCAAAAGGAGAAATGTAGCCGAGAGATCCAACATCCGTCAAGTATTTTTAGGATGTGTTTCGTGGAAATGTTCCTTGGGTCCCAATATGGCGTCACCACCGCAACGCACAATCACGGTTAATCCTTCCAGGATCGATTCTCATCTTTCTTTTCTTGTGGTTTTACGTAATGCTCAAAACAAACTCAGGATAGTTTCCTTTGCTCCCAAATTCTTTAAAAAAAAAAACAAAAAATGGATGCGCTCTAATTGAATGATTCCTTCTTGTTTACTCGCAGCACTTTCGTCGCGGGATTACAAAACACGGAGACGGGGCTCGTGGGACAATCAGCATACAAATATTTATACGCCGATAAGAACTGAATTGACACGTAAACTTGGCAACCATTACCACCGTTGACCGCGAGTAAACACGTTTATGTACGTATTTACAAAGTGTTCGATCCGCTCGCTGTTTGGCAAGTACGGCTGCTCGAAAGAAATTCGGCTGAACGGCGCCTGTTCACGAGCGAAATCCTTATCTAAATAAAAATTTCGTGCAACGGATGGAAAGGTAAACAACCGTTTATCCGCGTGTACCACGAATTAAATTCAAAATTACAGGAAGAAATATTTGACATTTCGATGTAATGTAAAGTTGATTCGATCGTAACGTACTATTTTATTATTATTTCCTTCGTTTCATGCGTTGTTTCCAACTTATTTTTTTTTTTCAGGAATAAATGCAAATAAATCACTCGTTCAATATTCATTACCGGAATAAAATTTTGCTCATCTCCGCGCCTGTCAGCCTGAATCGTTCAAGTGGAGTAGTGCGTGTCCACCGACCGATAATGTCATCGCTAAATTTGAAAACGTGTATAACGATCGGGAGAAGCGCCGCCTTGGGACTAGTTTCAAGGTGAACGAACACTTCGATTATTAGTCTGTTACCTTGTACTTTCTGGTTGGTATTCAACATAACAGAGGACAAGTATTTACTCGAAAATTCAGGATATCAGAAGGTACCACGAGTCCGCTGATAGCATATTTGAATTCTATATACGACCCACGGGTGTCATTCAGTTGAATAAAATTCTGAACACGAGTATAGTTAAGAATGGATCAAGGCAATCTATAAAATGAAAATTCAGAATTCCACTTGAATTGATAGTGATTTTTTAAGCTTGAAGGTGCTTGAACAGAGTTCACCTAAAATAATATTTCTACCACGCGAAACCGTGGGCCCTTGCCAGCGAAACCTGCCGAACCTTTAACAGCTAGAATTCGCGAGGAAAAAGGATGGATGCTCGGAATGGTAGGCGCGAGACGAAGAGAGGGAATGGAACAGGCGAAAGGGAAAGAGGAGAAGGGTGAAGAGCGCCCAAACGTCAAGAGCGGGGGGGCGTAGAGCAGGAGAAGAGAAAGGAGAAGGGAAGACGAAGCGAGGGAAAGAGCGAAATTCAGAATGAATAAAGAAGATCAGATGGAGGGGAGGAAAAATAAGAGTGGGAGAATATAAAGAACAGAAGAGGAGGCGAAGAAAGAGAGAAAGAAGCGTATCAAGGACGACGAAACGAGCGGAGAAGCATAAAAGCGAGGCGACAGGCGCCCAGCTTGTGCATCGGAGCTTCGTATTACCGATGCTATATACTCCCCTCTACCCCCCTGCCAACGAGTTTGGCGGCGCTAGGCGCCCTGCGAGCATGTATGGTGTAGTATACTTGCCCTTAACCGCGTCTCGACTCCCGAGAGCGTCTTGCTTTCACGGTTCTCTTCCCTTCTTTCAAGGTTGCACAAGTTTCGATCGCAGACACGTGAGACTCGACTTCGAGGCTCGTGCACTAGGGCAAATTTTACTCCGAATGGCGAATAAAAATTCCAGATTTATTCATGAGACTACACTTTTTTTTAGAGAGAGAGAGAGAGAGAGAGAGAGAGAGAGAGAGAGAGAGAGAGA